TTTACAACAAACTTTTTCTTAACTTTACTTATTCGGAAATGTTCATAGACATTTCATTATTTTGCTTGGTTATGTTTCACGTTCTGATGAAAGCCCAATACAAATGCAATCAGCGAAATGTCAAACTGACAGCTGTATCATTCCAGTGAATTGTCAAATGAGTGACTGCGTTATTGTGTCTGTGTGTCGTTCACTGTTTGGAGACAGTCACTTTAAATCAGAATCAAATAAATGAAAATAATAAACTTTTCCAAAAATCCACATTCAATTCAATTTAAATAAAATCTTTTGATTCAAACTGAGTTTCGTATCGGAACAAAAAATATTGCGATAAATCTATCGGCAAAAGTGTCAACTGTCAACTGATTGTTTACACGTCACATTAATTTTCGTGTCTTTTATTTCGGAACCGATTTTTCAAACACAAACAATGGTGAGTTTTTGCAATAAATTCGATCTGTTTGTCGATTGATCACATTATTTTGTTCGTTCATTGGTTTACAGAGCGCTTTATTCAACTTTCAAAGTTTGTTGTCGGTGATTTTGTTGATGATTTGCACATGCACCTACTTGCGATCATTCTTTCCATCCTTATTGGACCGTAACAAAACTGGGTGAGTTACATTAATACAAATAATCAGTTTAAGAAATGTATATGGATTGCTTCAACTTGTATGGTTTCTTTCAGAGCGCTTGGGACATTCTGGAAATTGGCTCGAATCGGTGAACGAAAATCGCCGTACGTTGCAGTTTGTTGCGTTCTAATGGCTTTATCGATACTCTTCTGGTCTTGAGGATAGTACCAAACCAACCAAATTCTATTTTCAGCCAACAGAGAATAGAATACTCTTTAAATTTAAGAAGAAAAATAAACAGAAAAAAACCCATTGTTATATTCCGATCAATTTTCATTTTTTTTTTTCATTTATTGACTTTTTTTTGGTAGAATGCATACAAAATGTGTTCTAAATATGAAGAGTTAAATAAACGTTTATAATTTAAATGCGTATAAATTTGTTGTGTGTTTTTCTTCATTTTCCATTAATACGACAAAATGAATAATATTTGTTTTTTGTTATAATTTAGAGAAATAAAATCAAAATAATGATTTCTGTTTTGTTCCTAATTTGTGCAACGAATCAACTTTGTTCTTTTTATTTTTTTGTCCCAATTTTGTAAACGTAAAAAATAGTAATATGAAGAACAGAGGAAAAAGAAATGAGTAGAAAAAAAGAAATCATTTGTGACTAGTGAGCGCACTTAATTCTATACTAATTTGATCATCAATTTAGTTTTCTCTCTACAAATTACAATGGAATCGAATGTGTATTCGATGGCGGAGAATAAAAGGAGATAGAGACAAATAAAACAAATTAAAAAAAATCCCCTAACATCTATACTAAGCCTAAAATATATATGATTGATTTGAAAATATTTGGGCGCATATAATTAAATCGTTAATATATTCAATATCTGGTTGTAATGTAATGCTACACTCGAATAGGTCGCAATAGTAAATGTGTCTATTGGTTAATATCTAAAAGATCTGAATGAAGAAAAAAAAAGAAATTCTAACGAATTAGTTTCGTTGGTTTTCGGGTATTTTGTTTTTCGTTTACGTGTTTCCAATTTTTTTTTTTGTTCGGTTTTTTGTTTACGATTTGACTAACGTTAGAATGCGATCATTGGCACATTGACACTCTACAATCATTATAATGGTTTTAAAAATGGTAATTGTTCTATTTCGCTGAATGGATGTCGTTTGGCACCCTGGCATGAACATTGACATCGCGCCAAGACGTTTGAGGTGCTGAATAGGGACGCAAAAGAAAATCTGCCAGTGAATGCATTTGTTTTTCATTCATCGTTTGGAATATATTATTTCAGCTATTTCTGGCCCACTACTTTTTCTCTTTTCTTTTACTAATACACAAAAAAGAACTGTTATATAGAATTGTAGAATGACTTTGGTAATCCTGAATCGGCTTGGAATAGAAATATCCTCCAAAATTGAATAGGTTTCGCCAACAGACGTTATAAAATATAAAATGAACGTTCGATTATATCAAAGACACATGGAAGTTTTTGACTTTTAAAGAGAAATTATAATAAATTCGAATCTTCGTTCGCAGCTTAATGTATTTCTTTTCTTTCTTTCTTTTTGGTTTTCGTTATTTGTAAGTTATCGTCCTTGCTTGTAATGAGCTTATCCAAAGCTGACCAATACTTCAACTCGACAATATTCAATTCATTCAACTTATCATCTCGCGGTATTTCAATTTATGCTTGGTCAGCATATCGGTAACGGTAACCAATTTTTTAATTGACGCATTCGTTTTGGCAATTCGTTGCAATTCCGGTAAATATGAAACGCAAATGTGATGCAGAGTCGCCAGTTCGCGACCTAAAATTGTAACGAAACAAATCAAGTATTAGTGGAAATTCAAGCAAAAATTTCGTTATTTTGGCAAATTAGTTGTATTAGTATATACTGGCTTTGTCATATCAGTTTCAATTACCTGTGTCGGAGCACTTGTGATTCGAATTTGAATCCACGTAAGATCCAGGCGGAGGATTTGGATCGGTAACCGATGACAATTGATCCAAGAAAACAATCATACGCTCCTTGTTCTTCAATATGAATGGATTGACGACTTCCATATAAGGTTCCTTTAGATGGAAAAAGAACAAAACAATGTAAAGTGGATGCAATTTGGTATGAAAATTAATTTCGTATTACCTTTCCTCCGAATTCAACCAAATTGGCCAAATTTTGTAAGCATTTGGCGATCATGATAAGAGAGCGTGTTGCTGTATTCGATGGTGTTTCTGTGACCAGACCGAATTGTCGTGGATTTAAGAGAGCTGTAATTTATTAAAAGTGAAGAAAAAAAACAAAGGAACTTATGAGCCCATCACACGAACAATCAATCTTTCAAAATCAAATGTTATGAAGTAATTTACCTGGGCACAAAAGACGTAAGAAGATAAATCCTGAAACGACTCTGGTGCGAACTAAACGTTCTGTTGGCCACTTGGCGACAACCGATCTCTGCAAACAGTTGCAAATGTAGCGAACGGTTCGTGGGCACTCTTCTGGCGAGGTGAAAATAGATTGGGTCACCAAATCCAGAATCTGAAGTAAAAATTCCGCATTCGAGCATGCATCTTCGATGTCGTCCATTTTTGTTGGATTCAATTCGGCCGACTGTTTGCTATCGAGAATTCTCGAAACGGTATCAGAGAGAGCCGATTGTACGAAAGCTCCGCACTCGGTTCGCATATACAAATCCATAAGCGTAGTCGATAACGATGCACCTCGGAATAGAGTGGCAGTTTCATTTTCACGGGCAATTTCGGCTTGACATAAGATTCGCAACAATTCCGTTTCACGTTTTTCACGGCGAAAAACGCGCAAAAGTGACGTGGCCAACGGAATTCGATCGTTATGGCACAGTTCAGAGAGTGTTTTGACCGAATTGAGTTCCGGTTCGAGGAACAGTTGCTGCAATGGGCTGTACTCATCGCATGGCATAATTAAATCATCCAAATAACGCATTCGCAGGCGCAACGAACCCCATTCTCCCATCGGAGTCATTCCGTTCAATTGATACCATTCTTCCGTTTCGAAGCCATTCTTCAACGTGGCCAAATCGATCGTTAAATCGGCCACTTCCGATTCTTTGTTGCGTTTGCCACGGCTCAAAACCGTAATTGTCATGGTAACCACATCGGGTGGAACGTCGTCCAAAATAAATTCCTCTTCCCACACGGGATCGGGTGCAGACTTCATGCGTGTTTTACCTATTTTCACTTGATTAAATGCAATGCTGCAATAGGCCTGTGGCACTAATTTAAATGGCAACCGATGTGCCTCCAAAATTTGCAAATTCAAACTGCGCAACTCTCTCAATTTCAAGTTGACCGTTTGTGTTTTTCCCAACTGAGACACACACTGCGGTTTCACGGCGTTTATCCATTCCGTGTAACTGTCTTGGTTATTTGCGCACAAAAATGTCACAGTTGCCAAACATGGTAGGGCACGTTCGACGATTTGGAAACAATACGGGCGATCCCAGAGCGATTCATGCGTTTGATACAAATAAGCGCATGACAAATCGATCAAACCCTTTGGCTTTGTCTTCTTTGGATTGTCATAAAAGCACAAATGGGTTTCGGTGCCTTCGTTCAACAAAGCGAAATACAATTGCTTCCATTTGGCCGTTTTATCGGACTTTTTCCACAAGTAACCGGTATGTTTGATACCTTTGATTTTCTTCAGGCCTATTTGGTCGCGACATTCGCGCAGTGTCGCATAAATTTTCTCCGCTGCAATCGAAGCAGCCGTTTGTTGGCTGAACTCCGTTTGATTACCATTCACAACTGGATGGTTTAAGCAATGACCTTCGACAATTTGTTCCTTGCGATACCGATTTATAACGGCGTCCAAACATTCAAATGTACGACCGCCCATTAAATATCGTACACCTTTCTTTTCAATACGGAATCGTTGAATTTGATTGTTGATGTGGAAAAAGAGTGAATAGTCCCCGGGTGAACTAAAAATTAATTATTTTTTTATATAAATAAATTATAAATTATAAAATTAATTTATTTTTAAAATAAAATTTTCTTTAAAATTTACTTGTCGCTGGGGCGTACGAGAAAACTACCAGGGCCTGCTTTGACTAACATATCGACTGCTTCGTTCTTTGTGCAATTCGGATGAAACCATGGGAACACCGTATTCGGATCAATGGATACATCGAGATCTTCGACCAGTTCACAAAATATCATGCCTTGTTCACCGGTTCGATGTGCCGTCACCCAAAGCCAACCATCACCCATGTCATTGTGAACGAAGAAAATATCGCCCTTTTGAAAAGTCAATTCATCGGTATCGGGCATTTTGGCGTATGGCAGTATGGCGACGACTCGCTTTTTATCGTTGACAGGCTCAGGTGGTGGAATGGGATAAATCAATCGCTCGCGTTTCAATAGATCACTACACGATGTGTAGTATCCAACCAAATCGCTGAGAGACACAAACTGTCGACCTCCGATGTAATAATCACCGCAAACTGCGGTTACCCTGCAAATTAGAATATTTTTAGTTAATCTCTTTGAACCTTTAATTTCATTAGGTTTGTCCGTCATATTGATGTGAAGAATATTTTACCTGAAATGATTGATACCCGTTCGACCCAAATAGCTCAGCACATAGGAGCCAGGCTTTAGAAGAAAAGAAAAAAAAATTAATCTACTTAAATTATTTGTAAATATATATTGTATGTAGCCCCAATCTTTACAAATTAATTACCTTTCGATCACTCTCTCGAACTAAGTAACTGCCCAATTTACTGGCATTTCGTAAACGTTGCTCCGAACTATATCGATCCAATCTACCATGATACCATTCACTCTCCGGTGGCGCAATAATCGCCGGTCGATCACCTATGCAAAGCATTTAAAATTTTAGAAGTTAGAACACAATTTGAGAAAAAATGAGCAAATTAAGTTGCAATTAAGTCGCAATTAAGTCTCGTTAAAAAAAAGCAATTGTGAATTACGACTGTCTTACCGTTAATGAGCATTGGGCCGTCAAATTCGTCTTGATCTAATTCTTGTGCCAAGTCAGCAAGGTCAACACCAACTCCACCCTCATCCTCTGATCCAGATGACGGTGTATCCATGCGATCCTTTGGAACTGGAATGCCCACGAGTCCACCCATTCTTATAAGATCGGCCATGATTGATATTTATTTTTTTGTTATTAATAACTTCCGCTCAAATGTGAAATTGAAAACAAAACCAATTCTTGACACTCGAGTTACTCGAGTGATGACCCCCACCCAAATGCGATTTTTGTTTTAAATAAAAATTGATGGTTTTTTGCGTTATGTGAATTTGATTCGGGTTTGTTTTTGTGCGTAATTAATTTGGAAGCCACAATACTCCGGCAAACATGATGGAACAATCACAAATGTTCAGTTAAAATGGGTATACTAAACTAGTGCTAAAGATGTGTGATATTAATTCGTTTTTTTTTTTTTAATGTTGACACTCGCACAGCCATACACTATTACCAATATAGACCAATTGTGAGTGAGTAATTATCATAGTGTTTGCAATGTATGGAAGTGATTCTAGTTCGTTGTCATTCAATGTAAATTTTTGCTGTTTTTATTGTTGTTGGTGGTGTTTAAAATTTCTTTTGTATATGTTCTTTGTTTTTTTTTCGCTGATGAGTATATAATTTGTTTTCTGTTCTTCTATCACATTTATATATGTATCTTGATGGTGCTTGACGATGACTCACACACAGGGCACTCATACACTTGAATGCGTAACATAAATATGAATGGAAAGACAAACCATATTTGCTATATGAAACGACTACGACGACGACGACGTTGACATATCCAGTGAGTGAGACTGATATAGAATCACAATAATAACAACGAGCGACGAGCACGACAACAACAAAAGCAGGAATACGGTTCGACTACTGCATTCACAGTTCAGTCGCGCACACAAACTAGCACAACGTACACAGGAAATGAGTAAAGAGGAAAAAAAAATTTTTAACACAAGCCAACGAACGAACGAATGAATGGAAGAAAAATTCACAATGGAAAACAATAATTGATTTTGATTAATATGTCTTGAACAAAATTTATACACGCAATTTAATCGGCTGTATTGTTTGGTGCGTGTATTTGTCTTTTGTTCTATACGGTTTGGTTTTATTCAACAAACGAATGAAATGTTTCGTTTGCTTGATGTGCGTAGTAATTTTGTTTCCGATAACCGAGGAAAAAGAAGATGATCACATTGATGTTATTATGGCACACACACAATACAAAATGTAAATATGCAATCAAACACACACAAACAAATTGATAGTTTAATGGTTAGAGGATCCAATGTTCAAAAACCAATAGATTCCAGTCTTTTAGTTCTTTTTCTAGTGCTGTTTCGTGTTTGTGTGTTATTGTTGTTGTTTCGATTATACTATTATGAATTGAACGAACAGAAGAGGAAACAGTTAATCCATGGCATGAATGAAATGAATAGACACCGTTTTACCATCACCAGGATGAAAATACTATAAGCTGTCGCTGCAGCAGCCACACACCACTAGAAATAATGTAAATGTTATTATGCGACACAAACACACGGTAAATAATAAGCGTAAATCAATGAGTTTTTATGATGAGAACACACATGAATGGCCAATTTGCTTTTGCATGAAAGAAAAAAAACAATCCATCGAGCCTGTGTTTTCACTACGGGATTTGTCACCAAACACACACATACTTCTTTTACCTCATTTTGGGCTATTTCACACAAATTTTCAATCGCAAAGCAATTAATGCTTGTTCAACAACACTGTTCTCTTTGCACATGAAACTAGTTTTTTTTCCTTCTATTTCCACTTTTCCACTTTCTTGTTCTTCAAACAATTTCAATTTTTTCTCTGCCTTTCTTTTGTTCAGATAGAACGGAATTTTTGCTGCCGTTGCTCGTATCGTCTGTGTCGTTTGCTACTCATTCGTCTTATCTTACTGCCCCTCTAATCGAATTCGACGTTTAGCTCGTTCCGTTCTCGTACATTTATGCCATTTGGATATGTGCTGTGGTGTTAGTGTAGCTGCGTATATGATTTTTAATAATGACAGCTCAAAACGTAGCCAACACCGCGTGATACACACGGCTGGGCCACCGCACATCGGCTCGATATTCTTGTGTTTGTTTTTATTTCTGTTAGTTTTGCAAAAGAAAAAAAAAATCAAATGTAAACATTGGATAAATCCAGTTTGAAACTGTCCATATTTTGAGATTCTCTTTTCAATTTTTTTCTACGGTAGAAAAACCAACTTGAAGAATTCAATCGATTCTTTGCACTGATGATGTTCTGCAATGACAATAGCGCCGTAAAAGTATCAAAATATTGGAATGATGATGTGCGCAAGGTCTGATAATATTTCGTTGCTCATTTTGTCATAACATTTAATCCTTGAATTGCACAACAGATAACCATTTAGTCTCATTTCATTTTTTTTGCCACAATATCCTCATTCAATGGGGCAGTTAATCGATTAAATTTTATCATTTATTTTCATTATTACATACACGAATCGTTGTAATTTCAACATATTTTATTGTTGACTGAGCAAATCAGTTGAGGCGTAACTTTTATTTTCTGATTTTGGTTTGAAGTGAAAAACAACGTAGAAGACGATGTCGACGTCAAGTGTTGTGAGTGGAATCATCAGTCCATTCCCTCGCAAAAAGAAAACAATGAAATTATTTTATCATTTGTTGAGTGACATGAGACATCAGCGAGTGGCGGTTATTGCACTGGCCGTCGGTCAAGCGGTAAATAGTTTTGAACAAGTGTTTTCTGGTAAAAGAGATATAGATTATTGATTTTTCCATGATGACACCTGGCAGGCATTCGCGCATTCTGCACTATTTCTGGTGTGTTTGGGCTTAATTCATGCAAAACAAATATCGAGGCTATTGCTTGTGGATCGTCTGGATCAAAAGGAACGTGAAGAGTATTACGAAACTCCAAAGATACACGGTGTGTCAGCTAATGATATTCGATTCATTGAGGCTGACCGACTCGTCAACTATACATTGATCGTTTTGTATAGTGCAACAGCAATAGCAGCCACTTATGCTTTGTGTACACTTGGTCTGCTAATTGGTAATTGAAACCAGGCCGATAATTTATGGACCATTTCGTACGATGTGATTCATTCATTTATTCTTGTAGGTCTTATCAAAAGACGCTGCGAACTCATTTTGCCTTGGATAATCTTTCAGTCCATTGTTTGTGCTTTATTTGCAATGACACTGTTTGTTGCTTACGCGTACCCGAACCAATTTATCGCCCGTTACATGGGAACCGCTTACTTGTGCCGATGTGAGTGTTGCCGTAATTTTAACTGCAATAACATTAATGTGACATAGAGGAGATTAATTGAAAGAAGATATTTCATTAAAATACAAATATAAAATAATGAATATTCATTTTTTTATCGCAGGGTTAATCTCCATACTAACTCTGTTCATAAACATGCTTTGCTTACTACTGGTGTTGAGATACTACAAAGGATTGAAAATGTTGAAACGGCTTACCGAGGAAGTTGTCATACCTATCCCTTATCACGCCGTAAGTGCTGATGTTTTGAATTACATAAACTTTATCATTTTTTTGCATTCTTTCGATTCAAAGTTGAAATAAGTTGCCGAAACGAAATGTTCTCAATTTCTCGAATTATTGAACTTTTCTCAAACAATTTTCTTTCTTCATTTCATTTTTTCAGGTTCCATTCCATTTCCGTAAGGAAAACATGTATGTTGGAACCGGTGGATACAAGCATCTGCTATGCGATTTGAATCCAAATTATGTCGTCTAAATTTCGAATTTCTTTTTACTCTAAACCCTATATTACTGGGTACTATCATTTTACTATATATATAGACTTATCATAATTTAACCCTCATGCCGATCTGTGCACAAACAACAACAAAAATCTATAAAATTAATCCTGTTTTGTTTGCATGAAATTTATACCATAAAATTCTATTTGTAACGAATTGAGTTGATGACTATTGGCAAGCTCAGAGTATATCAAAATTGGTTGGCAATGCAATTTGATTTGAACACAACCGACAGTACTGATGGAATCATATTTGGAACGTAACCCAAACATTTTGATCGCTTTTTGAATTATATTAGGCAAATTTTTTTTAGCATTTTTGAACTTGGTTCATTTCTATTGAGAATTTTATACGCAAAATTTATTCAACTTAACGTTAAGTTATTTCCAAAATATGATTATAACTTCTATCTATCGCCTTTATCTATTCGAACCGTTTGCGTGAACCTTTCGGTTATGTCTGAAAAACAGGTTAAAACTGAAAATGACAAGAATGTTCTTATGTGAAACAAATTGAAAATACGTATGATTCGCAATAAAAGTTTGGAAATGTTGAAAATTACTCAGTTTGACGTTTTTATGAAGAATTTCTCTTTTAGATTGCAAATCACGTAACAAGAAGGGAAAGGTGTGAGGTAATCTCGTCTGAGATAATAAAAAGAGAGAGAATGTTGATATGAAGTTAGTAAGTTATTTATTGAAATCTTCAAATCTTTCTTTTAAAAAAAAAACCATAATAATTAGATCATAAATTTAAAAAAAATCAGCTGAGAAACTACACAGGGTGAGAAATCTTAAAGGAAATCTACGTAGAAAAAGAGGTGACAGAATATTCCGGGAACTAACAGCACGGCGAGTGCTTCGTAAAATCTGCAGATGCTTCGGCAAATTTATTACGAATCATATAACCAGCAATCACTTCAGCCACTTCATGCGGACGATCCTAAGAATAAAAAGGCATTTTGATTAAAATGTTATTGATGGATTTAAATTGATTAAGGTAATTTACCTCATGCACAGCATGTCCACAACGAGCGAGTACTTGAAGCTGAAATTTGCCCTGCATTTGGCCGACGGTAAGTGCTCTGTCCAATCCATCGATGCTTGCCAACAGCAACAATTTCGGTACGGGAAGATCCAAAAATTTGAGGCTCAAGTTTTCAAACCAGCCAGCCCAATACTGTTCCGATTTCGAGAGATCAATTCGCCAGGTGTACTTTTTTTCGCTTGGCGATGCCTGATGATTCTGCGTTTCTGGCTGTGGTGCATTTGAGTTTTCAACTTCTTCATCTTCAGCAATGGTCGAGTGACTAAATACTGAGGTAGAGTTAGGTGCATTGCTTGAGCTTGTATCATCTTGTGCATCCGGCAGAGGTAGTTCATTTGTGGCTAGTTTCCCTGTTTGTATACTGGAAACAAAGCATGCATGGGTTAGTTATGATTTTCAAATTGAATTGTTGTGTCAAAACTTTGAATGAATCTTTTACTTCAGGATTTGGCCAGGCATCGACACTTTAGCCGATGCAGAATTACGAATTTGGCCGCTACGAATACTCCATTCGATTGCCTGTTGAATGCTTTTGAAGTATTTTGGACGCGAACGCAAGAAGCTTTGCATACTCGCCAAAGCCTCCATAGCAGTTCCCTCAACTACATCGATAACCACGCACCCAATCAATGATGGTATCAGATACAGTGAAGCGATATGAACGCATATGGCACCTCCCATACTGTGGCCGATTAGCATTATTGGCGGAGATGTATCAGGATACAATTTTGTGATAATCTCACCAACATCACTGCGAAAACATTAACGGAACGATTAATATTAAGAAAGAACTAATTCGCAATTTACTCAATGAAAATATTCTGCATTACTTGGCAAGTGTATTAGCCGATAGATCCGATTCATTTTCGACATGCGTATCACCATGACCTCTTAAATCAATCGCCAGACATTGACAGTTTATAATCGCTGTAATCTCGGTCTAGTTACAATAAAAACGAAATTATTGGTTGTTTTTTGCTTACAAAGTCAAACAAGTGGTTTTTATTTACCGTAAAATGTGCCCAGGTGAGTGCCGAATATCCACCTCCATGCAAGAGTACAAGCAATGGCTTCTGGTTCTCCTTGTCTCTCTTCGAGAAGTACACACGAAATGTTTGATTACTACCGAAGGTGACATCTTCCTTTTCTTCAAAATGTTCATCCCACATCGTCGGGACGTAATCTTTTTGACGACCTCTTCGATTACCACCGCTTCTAAAATTGCCGCACATAAATCAACGCAAAAAATTATTGTAGAAATGACTATGGAAGTGTATTTGGTAACATACCTGGCTGCAACCGGCACACATGGAGGTAAATGAGCACGCATCATGGATTTCTGTAAACTTGACATGTTATTAATCTTCACCGTATCTCTTTAGTAGCAATAAAAATATTTTATTCGAGTACTTTATCCAAAGAGCCCTACATGAAATTTTAATGCACACACTTTTCTTCATACAAATAAAAATAAACTTTGATTATTATTATTTGACATGTCAAGGTTGTATGTGTGTGGATGCCGTTTTTGACAGCAAACAATCATGATGCGTGCATTCAATTCCGACCGTGGACTTCGTTCATTTGCTGCAAAGATGTTTTTGTGCTATTGCCACGTTTATCCAGATTTATTGTTCACTTAATATCAAATGGAAATTGCAATTTAAGGAAAATATTTCCATTTAATTCCGATTCCGCAGAAAAACCTTCGTTTTGATCAAATTCAAACAATGAATCATCGGTTGAATTTCAAATATCACAATGATATCCACAACGATATCCACATTGCGGTTGCACACGCATACATCGAAAGCGGCTTATCGTCTGCGGTAGTCGTCGGGTATCTTACAAATCGTATACACAACACATTTGAATGTGGAAACGAAAAGTGCATTTCGGTGAATCGGTTATATGTCTGTAGGAGAGTACACGACCACGGCCACGACGACGACGACGACAATAAGCGACGAACAACGCTTTAGTTATGAATTTGCTGTGATGTGAAGTGTGCGTATTTGCCATCGAACGATCGCGCCATGAAACTGAAACATAAAACAACAGAATGTTGTGTGTGAGACAAAAGCAACGGAGTGAAGAAAAAATAAAGCAGCAACAACACAACGAGAGAGAAGCATAACAAAAGACTACAAAATAGTTTTATTATTTTTTGTGAATTGTGCTGACTGACGGCAAGAATTCCAATTGATGAAAATAGAGTGAGAATATTTGATGGGGAAATAAAAAAGAAGAAGAAGAAAATTATTTAATTTGAATGCGAAAAGAAATTGAATTTTTTGCTCTGTGTGTGCGTTTTTTCTTCTCTTTTGGGAATTTATTTGTGCAAAAAGTGAGAAGAAAACGCACTGAGTGAGGTGAATAGTTCGTAATAATAAAAAAAGAGTAAGAATAGAAATTTAATTTGGAATAAAAGTAGTGATAGTGCGTCGCGGTGATGGTGCACTCGAGCAAGCGAAGCGCACAGACTCTCGATACACAAACAATCATCTGTGTTGCGCTTCGCCATTAATGGATTAGCAGCAGCACCACCGACAGCAATCGCAACAACAGTGAAATAGAAACATTTACGGATTTTTGTCCTACGACAACTACACCATCGCGTAAGTATACACCGTGCTATCGTTAAGACATTGTGTGATTGTGAATATTTTTGGCATGTGATTTTTCTGAATGGACGCAATTAGGTGATTACTAACAGAACCGAAATGTCTTTTGTAGTAACACTCACTTGGATTGTCGTAAACAAAGTGAACTTTTGACTTTAGCACTTCGAGAATCGAAGTGATTTTTGGGATTATTTCATCGTTAGTATGTGTGTATGCAAAAACGTGTGTTCATTGATTTGGACTGTGCCTCAATTCAATTCACGTCGAATACGTATAATCAGTTGTTTTATTTTTCGACCTTCATTTTTGCGGTGGACCGTCGTATACGGTTGGTCGTGTTGTCGTGAATGTGGTAATATCGCTGTGTTTTAAGCTGTGTGTGCATGCGGTTTTTTCTGCTTCTCTTCTTGTTGATAGAATTGTGCACTGGAAATGTCAATGAATTGTGAACGAATTGCATTTCGTGCATGTCTCATTTTTTTTGGAACATCGATGATTTTTTGTTGTTGTTGTTGCTTCCTTCAATCGAAGCATTAGTTTATCGAATCGAAGTAAACATTTTGCTTGTTTTTTTTTGTCATTGAAACCTTATTTTCGGCATGAATAAGCGAAAACTGTAAACAGCAACTGTTTTGAATTTCAATTCAAAATAAGCAAGCTACTTCGCTGAAAAAATCTTTACGCTGTGCATGTGTGTCGTTTCCAAGAAATGGGCAGAATTACACCGTCGTCGAAATGTTTTCTACCATTTTGTCGTGCCTCAAACTTTTTTCTCTCTCGGTTCATTGCTGTTGCTTGGCGCGCTAATACAAAATACCACAAATTAAATGAAAAAAATATGTGTTTTTCAGTACAAAACAGAAAAAAAAACGAAGGAAGAAAAAAAAACGCCGAGAAAATTTTCAAATTATCTAAGTAAAACGATGTTAAAAAGTGTATGCAATTCCGTTGTCGGCGAAGCAAAACACACATACAAACACCGATACACCACACTACTCGCCGCATGTTTGTGGCTATAATTAGTGCGACAATTTACAAATAGAAATATAAAAGAGCAGCATTAATAGCACTAACTGCTGCAACAATAATAATCAAAAGATAGTCTTGCACAGCGAGAGAGACAGAGACAGAAGACACGCTGGTGCACTGAATGTTTCGCCAGAGTCATACGAAGAGACAGTCACCGTATGAATTATGAATGCTGACTGACAATGATAACAACAGCAACGAAAAAAACCAACAAACCACACATCATGGCTGCATTTGGCACAGCCGAACAAAAACAAAAAAAAAGGAACAACAACAACAACAGCTCGAGTGCGCGCGCTGACTAAAATGCCTTTTAAATCAAATAAACCTTTCAATCTCTATAAACAAACAATTGCGGCGAAACAAATATTGGCTCGGACGGATTGTGTTTTTTTCGTCGATGTTTCAAACAACAAACGTCGATTTTATAAATACATGACTAACGGTTACGGAGTACAATGATCGCATTAAAATACAAAATGAATATTTCCACATGCAGTTTCCAATTGGCATTGTCTCGAGAGAGAGAGAAAGAGAGAGAGAGAGAGAGAGAGAGAGAGAGAGAGAGAGAGAGAGAGATAAACCGTCAGAGCTGTGTGTGTGTTGCTTGTTCACTTGTGCTGTATCGACGGAACTTCAATATATTCTTTTCCATATTTTGTTTTGGTATTTTTTTTATTTTTGTTCATGGTATCAATTTTATTGAGGAAATTGGCCAACATTTTTATTAAGCACACTCGCACTGTTGTTGAATTTTAAATCAATTGATTAAGTAGGGCCTCCTTCTTATCCAATACATATCGTACGGAGAGGAAAGCATATCGTTCGCTGAAGGTCTTAATTTTGATGATCAATGTCTTCCGGTCACTTGTGCTATGTGTACCGCAAAAATCAAACAAATCTCCGCGCTCTGAATCAGCAGCGAGAGAAAATAAAAACCGAGAATTCCGCTGAAATCTCGCATTGGCGATCGAAAGAAAAAGAAACTACAATGTGAGTAATCAAAAGTTCACATTCCAATTGCATTGCACGCATTTATATCCGATACGATATACGTTCTCTTTTGAATCTTGCGCTTGTTTGTCGCCGAGCGATGGGTGCCATTTGAGTCGAAATACGTCGATGCCATAGAAATAGTTGTTTCCATATCCACACTTAATCGCAATCGCAACCATCGCGCATACCGTGTATTATTTTGTTGCTGTTGTTTGATTTATAAGCATCGATATTACGATTAAACTGTTGTAGTACTCACCGCACAACAATATAATAATTTTTCTGCCATCTCGCTCGTTGGCCGTGTGAGTGAGCGCCAATGCGAGTGAGTGTGTGCTGCAGCTCGACTCGAGAGATACACGTACATGTACTGTGAAGTGTGCATACAGGAGAAGAACGAAATTCAAAACGTCAATCAAATCGGTGAAGCCAAAGAGAAATTGTGCATTAGTATTTGAATTTGTGTATGGCGCACCGCACCAAGCGATGCATGTGAGCGTTGTTTTTTTTTTAACATTTTGTATGCGTTCTCAGCCCGTAAAGTAAATACAGCTGACTGAAAATGAAAATGGAAACTGAAGCAAGCACACGGAACAAAAATGCGTTTCAAACGAAGATTTTTTTCTGTTCTGTGAATAAAGAATTCATCATGGTTTTTTTCCCTGTGTGTTTTGTTCGTATTTACTTAACGACTTGCTTAAGTAATGTTGGTTCCGTTCTAGAGAACAGAAAACGAGTAAAAATTCGGTTCAAATTTCAATCAGTTTCCAAATGGCTTCGATCACAACAGCTCTTCATTGTTTGCTCAAGTGCAGCGTGTGTGTGTGTGTGTAATTTAAGTCGATGAACCGCATTTTTTTCTTTCCTTTAAATGTCAATGCATTCAGTGGCATTATGAGCACAAGATCAGAGCTGAGACAAGAATAAAATGAAACTTCCTTTCAATCTATCGGTTTCGAAAACACATTTTAATATCTTCATCACGTAGCGTTTGAATTGTTTTGAGGAAGAAAAAATTGGTGGTGGTCACTTTGTCATGCAATGCAGAAAAAAAAACAACAATTACGCAAAATGTGGAAAACAATGCATAAGCTATAATTATGCACTTTGAGCCGTGCTGCAAAACCGCCTTAGATCTAACAATCAATTAAAAAATAAACAAGCCGTTTGATAATCATGATATTTTTCGAATTCCAAACGAAATGTGCGCCAGCCATTTATTTAGCAAACAGCAAAACCTAGCAATTTTCGCTTGGGTTGGCCGTGTGGAGTTTGTTGAAGAGAAAGAAATCAAAAACGGCGAAATTGGTTGTCGGAAGTGCGTTTGCGACTGTTACATGTACGGATTTGATTTGGCGAGTACTAATCATATGAATGGAAATTGTCTCGTAAGCAAAACTGCCTTGTGTCCACACAAATATATCAAACTTGGTGGTCAATCGGCCGTAAACAAGAATGATTTCGCATAAAACGCAACAAAGGCAAGACAGAAAAAAACATACACACACACAAAAAAAAAAGAGTCAACAATTGTTTTGATTTGGATACAATCCAATCAGTCTGTTGCAGTTTCATTTATACGAATGAAATTGCGACCGTTGATTTTTAAGCGATTTTGTATTGCAAGTCAACTTAATGTCCGCCTAATTTTCCGGTTATGACGATTACACCGTTCCACAGTTTCTTTCAGACTTGATGAATGCGCACACCACAGGCTTTGATGGATAATAATTTCCATTTGAGACAAAAGCTTACAAAATCACTACACACAACAACGCCAAATAACTGCAAACTCATTCATTCATCTCTTCGACTGTCTGCGTCCGCTCGTTCGTCCGTCCGTTCCAATGACTCATGCACTCAAACTGCATTTCACACTCTTGTTGAGTGGAGTTGAGTTGAATTGTACTGTGATTGAAATGCCCACGTTGGATTTTGTTTAATAATTTCGTGTTAAGTTACGTTTTGCGTGCAGTTTGAAAGGAAATGAACGCCGCCAAATCGGACGAGAAAAAAAAATTGTGTTACATAAATATCCATTGCATCGAATGGATTTGCGCGCACATAATACATGCATTCTCTCTCTCTCTCTAAATTTCTTCTGATTTTGATTTCTCACGCTGTGCGCACGACGCGACGATTTTTCATTCTAAATTTGGACTTTCCATCAATATTCCGACGTACACAACGTTATTGTATCGACGAATAATGATTGTTATTTCTCTGAACGGCACATATGTCGAAAGGCATACACAGTGCTACACAGCCGCTGTTTTTCTTCTTCGATTTGGGTTACTCGATAAAATAATTGCATGAAATCAAGTTTTTGTTTGTTGTTTCGAACAAACGCATCAAGCGAGACATTTAATCAACCTACTTAAATGGAATGCTGTTTTATCAATAAAACCAATGTCAACGCAAGTCCATAAAGGAGGGTTTGTCTCTACAGCGGCAGCGGTTTCAATCAACAAACGCTATTGATTTATCAACATTTGAAGAAAAGAACCATTAAATGACCAATAAACACGTTGACAGCTACCGTTTCGACAACGATTTGAAAATTAAGCGCTTGAAAATTATTATAATAGTTATTACGAAACTTCAATCAAAAAAATAGAAAATGGATTTTGTTTCTTTTTTTTGTGTTCAGCCGATGTAAATTTGACGTTAATCAAATGAAACGAGGTGCATATGATTATGATAAAAATTGTGCACGCAACGCTTTAGTGGCATGCATACGCGGCGAAGCGAGGTAAAAAAAGGTCAAGACAGAACAAGTGCATTGAACGTCTACCGCGCGCTTCATGCGCCTGTGAATCCAAACAAAGCTCCATAAACCATACATACATTCGTCATATTCTCTATCACACGTGGGCATGGAACAGAAACAACGAGAACGAACACAAAATTTGGAGCTCACATTATATGCTCATATTATACACTAATTGTTGAAGAAATAACGGTTCAAA